ATGTCCCCACAAGGATAGTAAAACCTGAAATTTTTTGACATTGTGGGGACCGGCCTGCGGTCCACATTAGGGGAAAAATATTAAAGATAGTAAATTATGTTTATCTGAAAGTGTAACAATGCAAACAGGTTTTCTGTAAGGGGTAGGTTTAGGGGATAGAAAATATTGTTTGGTCAGTATAAAAGTCATAGAAATCTATGGAAAGTCCCCACAATTGACAGAACCAAACGTGTGTGTGCGCATGTGTGTGTGTGTGTGTGTTTGCAGTGCAGAGACTGTATCGCAGCCGCTCTGGCAGCCAGTAAGATCTTGAGGAAACTGGCGCAGGAGAGCGGAGAGGACGACAGCGAAGAGGCATGAGAGATGAGAGAACTTGCCAGCCACTACGAGAAACAAGCCATCGGTACGAGCCGACACACATCACCCTCTGAGCACTGAGCAGAGCTGTGACCTTTAACCCTGTGCTGGTGTCTTCCTGTCCCAGGTGTGTTCAGCGACTGTCACAGCTGGGATGCGCAGCGGGCACAGAAGCTGCTGATCCGCATCTCTCCGTCGTGGGGCAGAAGCACCTGTCTGTGGCTTGCGCTCGAGGCTGACGCTAAGAGCTTCATCGCTCACTCAGGAGTCCAGGTGAACAAACCTTTCCTTTGTTTGCTTACTGAGAAGTGTTTATTTAAAAAATATATTTAATTTAAAAAAAGATGCAAAAGTATCACAGAATGGTGACATGTGCCATATATATATATATATATACATTAACATTAAATTATATACATTAATATTACCAATATCATGCTAATTATTTTGTGTAACCAATATGCACTATTTGAATTTTAATTATTTTACTAGATACAGCAATGCATCTTTACACAAATCTTAAGGAGCAAATATTCATTTTTAATGTAATATAAAGTTATTATTATTATTATTATTATTATTATTATTAATTCATATTATTTATTTATAAGGATTATTATATGATGATGATGATTATAACCAACATTTACAAACTATTTGTATTTTTTATTTCTGTTTTTGACACAATAATAAATATAAAAGAATATTTGAGAACAATTATTCATTAATATTAAATAATGATGTTATTATGTAATCATATTATTATTATTATTATCATATTGCATAGCTAAAACAATAATTTGTACAATAATATTAGCTAGCTATTATTATTAATATTATACACGTTCTTGTTTTGTTACATTTATTGCATATTTATTGCATATATGTCTTAATGGTTGCACATTTATTATTATTATTAATTTTATTATTATGATTTACTTTTTAATACAAATTATTGCGTTTGTTATTAATATAATTTTATTTCTGTATTATTTAAAAGTTGTTTTGTGGTCTAAAAGATTGCATATATATCCTTTTTTTGGAGTCTGTGAAAGGGTAGGTAAGCAATTCATGCAACCCATACACTCAAAATAATACAATGTTACCTGTGCACGCTGTTATTTGTGTTGTTTTCTGTATGGCTCAGGCTCTGCTGACTCAGATCTGGTGTGGAGAGCTGTCCGTGGATAATCCACACTGGAAAGTGCTGTTCTGCATGATCTTATTTCCTCTCATCTACACCAGCTTCCTGACCTTCAGGTAAAAACACTTGTTTTCATGGAATATGTTATTAAATGTACTTTATTAAAGGGGAAAACAAACCTAAAGGCATATCTATGAGTTATTACATGCACACAACACCAGATGGCAGCACTACACTGAATAATTTAGCTGCAAATTGCAATTTTACTACAAAACTTTCAATGGTTCGCAGTGGTTCTTATAAGTGGTGTTTTAACCCTTGATGTTTAATGGAACTCTGGCAGACGAGATGAAGTCATCCAGAGACAGGCCGAGAGGACGGAGCAGCAGAAACTGGCCATGGATGCAGTCTTTTCTGGAAGCTCAGATGCCAAAATCAAACGGCATTACCGGTTAGTTGAGTTAATAGAAAATGAGCAAATTAGACAAAAATATTTTCTTTTTCGTTTATTTATTGAGAAAAATTATCCAGTGTTACATATCTGTGCGATGCAAAAGTATGTGAATCTCTATAGGATCAGCAGTTAATTTGAAGGTGAAATTAAGAGTCCATCTGTTCAGAGGTGTTTTCATTCAGTGAAATTACTATCAGGTGTCATTGCCTGCCCTGTTTTATTTAAAGAACAGGGATCTATCAAAGTCTGATCATGTTTGTGGAAGTGAATCATGGCACGAACAAAGGAGATCTCTGAGGACCTCAGAAAAACAGTGTTGTTGCTCATCAGGTTGGAAAAAGTTACAAAACCATTTCTAAAGAGTTTGGACTCCACAAATCCACAGTCAGACAGATTGTGTACAAATGGAGGAAATTCAAGACCACTGTTACCCTCCCCAGGAGTGACTGACCAACAAAGATCACTCCAAAAGCAAGACGTGTAATAGTCCACAAGGTCACAAATGAACCCAGGGTAACTTCTAATCAACTACAGGCCTTTCTCACATTGGCTAATGTTAATGTTCATGAGTCCACCATCAGGAGAACACTGCGCAACCACGGTGTGCATGGTGCATCCAAAAAGAACATTGCTGCCAGTCTGCAGTTTGCTAAAGATCATGCGGACAAGCCAGAGGGCTACTGGAGAAATGTTTTGTGGACAGATGAGACCAAAATAGAACTTTTTGGTTTAAATGAGGAGCGTTATGTTTGGAGAAAGAAAACACTGCATTCCAGCATAAGAACCTTATCCCATCTGTGAAACATGTGTAACCAATATGCACTATTTGAATTTTAATTATTTTACTAGATACAGCAATGCATCTTTACACAAATCTTAAGGAGCAAATATTCATTTTTAATGTAATATAAAGTTATTATTATTATTATTATTATTATTATTATTAATTCATATTATTTATTTATAAGGATTATTATATGATGATGATGATTATAACCAACATTTACAAACTATTTGTATTTTTTATTTCTGTTTTTGACACAATAATAAATATAAAAGAATATTTGAGAACAATTATTCATTAATATTAAATAATGATGTTATTATGTAATCATATTATTATTATTATTATCATATTGCATAGCTAAAACAATAATTTGTACAATAATATTAGCTAGCTATTATTATTAATATTATACACGTTCTTGTTTTGTTACATTTATTGCATATTTATTGCATATATGTCTTAATGGTTGCACATTTATTATTATTATTAATTTTATTATTATGATTTACTTTTTAATACAAATTATTGCGTTTGTTATTAATATAATTTTATTTCTGTATTATTTAAAAGTTGTTTTGTGGTCTAAAAGATTGCATATATATCCTTTTTTTGGAGTCTGTGAAAGGGTAGGTAAGCAATTCATGCAACCCATACACTCAAAATAATACAATGTTACCTGTGCACGCTGTTATTTGTGTTGTTTTCTGTATGGCTCAGGCTCTGCTGACTCAGATCTGGTGTGGAGAGCTGTCCGTGGATAATCCACACTGGAAAGTGCTGTTCTGCATGATCTTATTTCCTCTCATCTACACCAGCTTCCTGACCTTCAGGTAAAAACACTTGTTTTCATGGAATATGTTATTAAATGTACTTTATTAAAGTGTAAAACAAACCTAAAGGCATATCTATGAGTTATTACATGCACACAACACCAGATGGCAGCACTACACTGAATAATTTAGCTGCAAATTGCAATTTTACTACAAAACTTTCAATGGTTCGCAGTGGTTCTTATAAGTGGTGTTTTAACCCTTGATGTTTAATGGAACTCTGGCAGACGAGATGAAGTCATCCAGAGACAGGCCGAGAGGACGGAGCAGCAGAAACTGGCCATGGATGCAGTCTTTTCTGGAAGCTCAGATGCCAAAATCAAACGGCATTACCGGTTAGTTGAGTTAATAGAAAATGAGCAAATTAGACAAAAATATTTTCTTTTTCGTTTATTTATTGAGAAAAATTATCCAGTGTTACCGATGCAAAAGATGCAAAAGTATGTGAATCTCTATAGGATCAGCAGTTAATTTGAAGGTGAAATTAAGAGTCAGAGGTGTACATATGAGATCTCTGAGGACCTCAGAAAATAGTTGGTGTTGCTCATCAGGCTAGAAAAGATTTCAAAGCTATCTCTAAAGAGTTTGGACTCCACCAATCCACAGTCAGACAGATTGTGTACAAATGGAGGAAATTCAAGACCACTGTTACCCTCCCCAGGAGTGATTGACCAACTAAGATCACTCCGAAAGCAAGACGGTCCACAATCCACAAGGTCACAAATGAACCCAGGGTAACTTCTAATCAACTACAGGCCTTTCTCACATTGTTAATGTTACGTGGACAAGCCAGAGGAATACTGGAGACATGGATGAGACCAAAATAGAACATTTTGGTTTAAATGAGCAGCGTTATGTTTCCTATGTATTCCAGCATAAGAACCTAATCCCATCTGTGAAATGTGGTGGTGGTGGTGGTGGTAGTATCATGGTTTGGGCCTGTTTTGCTACATCTGGTCCAGGACAGCTTGCCATCATTGATGGAACAATGAATTCTGAATTATACCAGCAAATTCTGAAGGAAAATGTAAGGACATCTGTCTGAGAAATGAATCTCAAGAGAAAGTGGGCCATGCAGCAAGACAACAACCCCGAGAACATAAGTTGTTTTACCAAAGAATGGTTAAAGAAGGACAAAGTTAATGTTTTGGAATGACAGAGTCAGAGTCTGGACCTTGATTCAATTGAAATGTTGTGGAAGGAGCTGAAGCAAGCAGTTCATAGGAGGAAACCCACCAACATCACAGAGTTGAAGCGCTTCTGAGGAATGGGCTAAAATTTCAGGACTTGTGTGAAAATCTGATCATCTTTTGGGTCATATTTATGCAGAAATATTGAAAAGTCTGAAGGGTTTACAAACTTTCAAGCAGCACTGTATAATTATAATATTTAAATTCAAGATTGGTTTAAATGTAAATGTCTGCTTGCCTGCAGAAAGTGTCCATCTGAATTTATGTTTGCCAGGTAATTTTCTCCAAGACTACTTCCTGAGCTAGAGTCCATCTATAATTGAACATGAGGGGGGGAAATGCTACAATTATTGTATACAAAATGCTATAATAGTTATCGCAAAACTGCCTATATATCAACAGCAGCAGCAACAACAATAATAATAAAAATAATAATAATATTTTATATTGTTCTAGTTGTTGCTTACAGCACATATGGCCCAGGGCGGAAGGATGTGATGCTGTAATAGTCCACAGTCACAGTGTGATGAGCCCAGAGGAACACAGTCACTGTGGCGCTACATTCATCATCGCAAGCAAAAAAACACCAGCATCTAAACATTTACTGTATATGGTACCAGATCTCTCTAAATAAAACAACCAACTTAATCAATGAAGTCTTTAGGTCACGTTTGCTTTTAATAGTGACAGATCTGGACAAAAATAATCTGCACTCACCATGCGATGACACCACGCGCAGCTCTTTCCTGTGAGCATTTTAATATTTTTGTGGCAAATCTCACATTTGTTGGATTCACAGTCAGCACTGATCCAATCATGAACTGAACACTAGTGAAGGAAAAAAAACAGGACAAGCATTACCTTGCATTAAAGAAATAGTTCAACCAAAAATGAAATGTGCTGAAAATGTCCTCACCCTCAGGCCATCCAAGATGTAGATGAGCTTGTTTCTTCATTGGAACAGATTTGGAGAAATGTATCATT